TTCTCTCTATGATTCACGGTAAATGATTTATTAATTTAAAAACTGAAAAAGAATATAAATAATTATTTAATATACATTTATACGTTCACAGTAAAAAATATTTTGTATTTGTGTTAGAAACGTTCAAGTCCTTGTAAAAATTTTGTGTTGAATTTGTATTCGAGTGATAATAACATAATGTGATTATGTTATTTAAATGTTTTGTTTTAAATTGATGTTTAACATTTCTTGTGTTAAAGTAACACAATTTATGAGTAAGACAAGTAATTTCAAAATAATGTAATTTTAGATACTTAAAAAATAGTGTGGTTTAAAAACGTCAATTTCGACATTAATAGATAAAATACGCGTTAATTTAACGTAGGTATCATAAATGTTAATTTTATCGAAAAATATGCTTTCCACAGTTTGCTTAAAAATTGTGTCAGTGTTATATTTTTGTGTTAATTTTTTCTATAATATTTGTGTTACTTTCTCACATATTTATTTTGTGTTAAATTAACACAAAAATTTAAGTGAACCGGTTGAACATATGAAATGTATAATACAATAACAACACATATTTTCCAACTGTGTTGAATTTTTTTTAAGAATTAAGTACGTGGCGAAATAAAAAAGGGAAAGCTTCTTTGACATTTTTTGACTGTTTTAAATGTACGTTGTAGCACACGAGCAGTAAAACGCTTATTGATTCTTGAAAGCCTCGGTCTCAAAAGTCGCAAATTTGGACGTATATTGTTAGTGTGTGTTCCTCATGCTCGTGCGCGTGTGAAAAATTGCATTCTTCTCCGTTTCACGATAGGCAATACCGTGCGGTGCAGATTTGCCCTAGGCAGTTTCCCCCGGGCCGCATCTGCGGCCCGATTGCGGAGCGCAAGCCCACATTTGGACTCACCAGCGAAGCGTTAATCGATATTAATTACATCACACGATGACTCGGATTCTATCATTCGAATCCGTTTTCAGCTCTGTTGACCCGATGCGGAACGAGTGGCATGACTTTGGCTTGCCGCACGAGAGAAATCGTATGCCCGACGCATGTAGTGTATATTGATAATCGATTTTTGACAGAGCGAGGCAGATATATTTGCATGGGAATTGACATTGCGCCAGACAATTCGACTTTTGATGTTATGTAACGAAACGTGACGCGCTCGGGACTCGAAGCGACGCGACGTCGCCGCTTCGGTGTGCGATTTACCTACAGACACGGTGAAGTAGACACGTAATGCGAATTACTTATCTACACAGAGAAAGTGTACAAATGTAAAATATAAACACACATATACATATGTAAAAATATCTGAAAATTGTTCTGCACTTGGTGCACGGAGTTTAAAATTCATAGAACCTGAAGAATTGAATTTATACAATTTTTGAAGTTGCTCGTGAGATGGAAAGTGCCCCGTCAATGTATGGAATTGAGTAGAATTGTCGTGTGCATGATTATTTAAAAATTGCGATTACGGTTACTATCTTCTAGATTAGTAACCTATTCTGCCGGAGATCGACTTTTAAAAGGAAACAGAAGAAATAGTGGAAATATTCGCCATACAGTTCATAATACATTTATCAATATATAATATTTATATACATTTTATTGTTTTTTCTGAAAAGATGGTCATCAAGATTTAGCCTGTTGTCGATATTCCTGAAAAGTCAACCACTATGCAATCAGTGTACATTTATTTAGAAATATATTGCTAGTATTGCGACAGTACAATACTAGCAATATGCTATCAATACATAGCAATATACAGCAATACATTAGCAAATTACTTGGCAATATTGTGCGTAATGGTTGGCAGTACATAATAGAGATAATAGATGGCAATATTACTAACAATACGAAAGCAATACAATTGCAATGCTAACAATAAAGTGTTGTATTGCCATAATTAGCAATCACTGTACGTTTTTTAGTAGTGGTTGACCCCTCGGATATTCCTTTTCAGAAAACTCTAGTTGATTATCTCTCACGTGATTTGATTGTATGTACGAGATTTATAGAATTATTATTCCCATTTCTATATTACTGTTTCCTTGTAAAAAAAAAACAGGTTATCAAAATTCAGAGCCGGAGATTTTTCCGAAGCGCCGGAGATTCCGACCGAAAGTCGGAATCTCCGGCTAAAAATTGGAGAAGTGGAAACTGGTAATGTCAATAGAATCAATCTCCGGTAAAGTTCTCGAAAGTTATACATTGATTCTATCTGCATCGCGTTTCTTAATCTATACGTTCGTTATTTCGTTTTACAAGGTCTACAATATTACAACAGTGATTTACGATACGCGTTTATCTTCGTTAGAACGAAATCGCGTTGAATTTCTCGCTGCTTGGCGTCGACGCAAAGACATGCGCAGAATAAGTTCGCCAATCATCATTTTTCTGACAGTGGATATCCATCTGTCAGCAACATACGACTAATATCCGATTTTTCTTTAAATAATTTTTAAACTTTGCCTTTTAGAACAAGATAATTTTGTTAATCTATAAATTAACGGCACACAATTGTAAGTAATTGCAAAGTTTCAAACTTACGTATCTCATTTCACTTTTTTATAATTCCCTTTGTAAGACATACATCACGAATATCTGACGGATATTGATAATGTCGACATTTCTAATATACGTAGTTATATTTATAGAAGAAACTTTAAGCTGTCTTTAGCCATTTTCGATTATGAGTCTTTTCATTATGATATGTAGAAAAACAAAAGTTAAATTTAGGACATTAATGTTTTAAACAATGATAATTTAATATTGCTTGATCTTATCGTTACAATATCAGGATAATTTCGGAAAATTGTATTAATCGATTTTTATTTCGGTTATTATATCAAACAGTAAAATATCAGTTCGTATAAGCCAGCATGTATTTTTTTTTATAACGATTTCAATATCTAATATTTAATATCACATCGAAAAAAACAACGTGATACAAATGTAATTAAATTTTTATCTATTTCTAGAAATAAAATATATATAACGTTCTTTCTGACGCCATGCAAATGTTGCGCTATTCTAAAAGAGTAGCGTAACAGAACGAGAATTAATTAAATTAGAGTCGAGTGCTCCGAAATCTACGTTATATTCTTTCTGCAAGAGAGATGCTATGCTTTGTATCGTACATGATAAATGTTCAAAAAATAGGTTCTCTTTTAATTCTAGAAAATTGAAGATTTAGTACACAGTGTTTCAGTGTTATTTTGATCTTTCATTTCTGATTCTAAAAGAAATATGTAGAGAAATGGTTGCTATTTTTTTAAAAGCATAAAAAGTATGAAAATTTTAAATACTTTTCTCAATAAACATCTGAGACAATACCTGGCTTAACCCATTAAATTCCAAGAAATCCTTACGCATTTTTCTATTTTAAATCCTTGTAACTCGGGTTCTAATAAAAATTTTTTAGCCATAATTGGTATTAAAGGGTAAAAAGAGCTACTCTCTTTTTCGGAAATCTAGTGGCAACGGGGTCGAATGCCTGAAAAAAGATATAAAGTTGAAAGTAGAGGTAAAAAGATAAGTGACCTCCTTTTTACTGACAAATATTCGACTAAATGATTTTGTCTACTTTTTGGAATAGCATAAATAGACGTAATTATTATTTATATGTGATCTATAATCATTATATATCGATGTATTCTACTACAATAAATAGGTAAAATCGTTTATTATAATTGAATATTTGTTAGTAAAAAAGACAAGAGTCATTCATTTTTTTTTTACTTACTTTCTACATTTATATCTTTCTTTCCATCCCATTGCTGACTAGATCTCCGAAAAGATCAACTCTTTTTACTTTTGAATACAAATTGCAATTAAAAAATTTTAATTAAGGTCCGAGTTACAAGGATTTAAAATATAAAAGCCCGTAAGGATCTCTTAGGAATGTATTAAGTCGATATTAATTTTGTTTTATAATGATATTTTAAAACACGGATTTGAAACCGTTGAAATTTTGAGTAAGTTCACGTTTCACTATTGCAAATGAAAACCGAGCGAAAATGATCTTCATGTTTGCTTTTGATAATGGAAATACGATTTTGTGCTGCACGGTACGATTTCCTCGTGTCTATAACAGCGAAAATTTAGCTCGAAATTATATTCCAAATGGGATTTTATTAAATATGAGCTGATATACATGGTGAAACTCTATGTTTCACATGTAATACAAGTAGATCAAATCAGTGACGCTTAACAAGTACATATCGGTAATGTACGATGCATACATTTATAATGTTTATGTATACAACTTAAAATCAATAATTTAATAAGCGGTGAGCGTTTTATTTTTTATTCACAATTTCATTCGCGATCAGGGATGAAAATGTCCAAAAGTCATTGAGCACAAGAACACTCAAGGACTCGATCTCTTTTTTTTTTAACGCGCACGTAAAAAAGAGTTTGTGGTATTTCACGAGGTTTCATTACTCCGCGATGTAAATGCTCGAGATGTCTGACGCAACGTCTATCCCGTCGTAATTCGCGACAATTCTCGCCGCATAATCCTTAAACAACCGCACGCTCTCGTTAACCGACGCGTGCGGCGGTATCTAAAGCTGCGATCGCATACGTACGACACGGTTATAAGGACGTTAGCGGACACCGTCATCGTCACCGTCGCGCCACGATGGTGACGGATACGACAGAAAGGTGGAGAACGGAACTCCCTGAGTAGGAGATACCAAAGAGTGGCGGAAGATAGGTAACCGTGCGGGCGCGAACGCGATAGAGACGGAAGCGACGGAACGATGGATCGAAAGAGAAGGAACGGAGAGAAAAGCGCGCGCGCGCACACACACATACATACACACAGAGGAGGTGGGAGCTTTCGCGGGCCGAGGGAAACCGTCGGCGGGGATAACAGGGGGCGACTGGAAAGGAGGAGGGAACGGCGGAGGCCATGAGGAGCCTTACGGCGGTGGGGACGGGTGGCGGTGGCGCGGTGGTGGCGGCGGAGGCCGCTCGTCGTTCAACACGCAGGATCAGTCTGGGGAGAGAGACCTCGCTCCGTCGCTTTCGCCTCGCTCTATCTAGTACCTCCGCCGCACTCGTATAACACGCTGGAAAACGTGCCGTTCCTCACGCGCCTGAGTAAAAAAAAAAAAAAGAAAGAAACGCGAGTTCGCTGCATCCGGTGAGAGTCCGGCGGAAGATCGTCGGAGATTTCGAGCGAACGCATCTCGCGGTGCAGCGCCGACGTTTCTCGCGTCGGGTAGACGGAAAGCCTGTTGCGAGTCGCTTCCGTCGTTCCGTCCACTACTTCTTCCGCCTCCCTCGCTACCCTCTTTCTCCCTGACGTATTTCCGTCAGGTGGAAGGACTCCTTTCCCTTTTCTTCGCTCCGATATTTCTCCTTCGCCGACGAATCGATCCTCCGAACGTGTCGCGTTGGTGCGGTCGCGTCGACTGTTGTTGTTTATTACGGCTCGACGGAGGAGCCGGTCGAGGGACGCGGAGCAAGAACGAAAGGAAAGGAGAGAGGAGAATCACGAGGAGGAAGTTGCGAGAGGAAAGAACTCACGTGCAGCGTTCTCGTTCCGTCCTCTTTGATCGAGCACGCACCCTTTTATCGGTCGACGAGGAGATCATACCTACTAGGCGAGAATAGTGGATATCGCGTGTAAGGATCATGCCACGCCGCTATCTGCGCTATCAGCTCGAAATGGCGATCTCGGTGTTGTAAAAAAATACAGAGCGCTACACAATAAATGGAAAATAATGAGAGAGAAAGAGAGAGAGAGAGAAAGATATGAAAGCTGAAGACCACTTAGGGATCGCGCGCTGACGTTTTAAGTCGCAACGTAGTACGCTCTGGCGAGTGATGACCCTTTTCCCTACGGGGACGTAAGACTAATTAGCGAGGGACACTAGCGTTGGGACGAGAGGGAGGGGAAGAGAGCGGGAAGACGAGACGAATGGGAGCACCGACACAGCGGGGTTGAAGTACCGAAGATAAGGGGGACCTTGTGTCCGCCGGATACATGTTTGGTGAATCCCTGAGGCGCGCTGAGGAAAAGGGCGAGAAATCCCTCGATTTTTTGTCTTCCCTTCTCCCCCTCCCCCTCCCCCTCGTCTTTTCCTCCTCTTCTTTCCCGTTCCGGTTAGTTTCCGGAATTCGCGAGCTGGTAAATGTCGAGTAGTTGAGTGAATGACGAGGCTGGGTCGCTGTCTAAGCGTTTTAGAGCCGACGTCTGCCGTCGGGTGAGGCAAGGCGGGATAGAGCAAACGTTGCCCGTTTCTAAGCTACCTTTGTCGAGAATCTACCGAAGTAAAAGTTGGTTCGTACATTCTGCACGCGAAGCGAACGAGAGAAATAAATAGTCGAAAGGGAATTAGGGTCGTGTACGATTAGATCTGGCTTTCTGCTCACGTCAGACCGCCGATCTGGAAGATTAGTCATTTCGTGGGTCGTTCGACGAGAGTTTTATCAAAATAAATCATGTAAGAGCCGTGCGTTCGAAAAGTTTTCGGAAGCGTAAGAGAATACGATCGACGTGTGAAACGGTAAACAGCAATGAGGGAACTTCCCACGGGTTCACATTTATTATTATAAAATTTTTTCGCGTTTTTGTCTTTCGTGTTTTTCTTCTATTTAAAATTCAATACCCTTCTTTGGTGAGCATCTAGTTTTAATAATTTGCAAATTTGCGAATAACGCTTTTTTTTCACAGCCGCGAACTCTGAACTTTGTATTCCGAAATGAGAAAAGTTTTCAGAATTTAGAATGTTTAATGTCGTTCTTCCAATCGAATTATCGATCTACATAAAATGTTATTAAATTGTGACAAGAATAATCAACGTAAACTACCGTCAGTTTTTGTAATATTAAATACCGGGGTAATTAAACTTGAGATTAATTCTCGCAAAAGAGAAAATCGAATGGAAATTACTCGGATAGTAAAACCCCGCCGGCTTTTGCGGAACTTCCGGGAAACTCGGAATGAGACTCTAAGAGATTGATTTATTGCGTCGTATCTATTTATATCGCGATAACAATTACGTCGATAACCAACTTGTTTCAGCCTATTTTTATGCATAATACGTCCCACGATGATACGCCGATACGTAAATACGAGGAAAGAAACCATACGATACACCGGAATCGCGTTTCCTCTCCCGTTGTTACATAAATAAACAATTCTATCGTTTCAACGCGCGTTCTTAGATTAAACATTACTACTAGAAACCAAAAAAAAAAAAGGGAAAAGAACAGCATCCGGATCGCGATCGATTCGCGCCAGGCCTGTTGCTCCGAACCGGGCTTGAAATTTTAAACGCTGCTGTATATTAAATTCGACTCGTACACGCTCAAGTGTACAAGTATCCGCCAATCCCGATGCTTTAAGCCCACGCTTAAACTTTAAGCACGAACGGGTAATGCAACCGGACGGGGTAATGGGTTAAACGCGGCCGAGTGCCCTCTCTTGTGTGTATATATATATATATATATATATATCTATCTCTCTCTTTCTCCATGCAGCTGCGGCCCTTTATCGGCCACCACCGAGACGCCTCGATCGATAGCGCGCGAATATGCAATACGCAAAAAGCAACGCGCTCGAGCCTCGGTAGCGCTCGGTGGTAAGCGGCACATATAAAATTGTACGCGTTGCCGTGATGTCCGCAGGACGACGAGGTGAGAATAATATGCGCTCGCGAATTGCGCGCGAGAGTGCGCGAGCCGGAAGGGGACCGAGCTCCTCGCCGCAGCAGTGACCTGCGAGCTTGCGAGCGGTACGTACGTACGTTCGCGGTTAACGTACGTTGTTCCATGTGTCGTGAAAGAGCCCGTGCCAACGGCGACGATCTCGCGGTCGCAGTTTTTCGGACGAACGACGGCTTCTCGTGAGTACACAGATCGGGGGTTAGAGTTCCTGCCAGCCGGAGGAAGGTCTCCTGGATAGCTTTTTACCTCACGGCCGTCTCTCTTCACGGGCCGTCGCGTCCCTCGTCTTCGTCTTGGGGCGCGCGAAAGGGCTTGAGTTTGAAAAGGACCTCGAGTTCGTGGACAATCGCCCACCCTCGCAACGAGTATTACCGCTCTTTCACGAGGACACGTACGAAGGGGATACATCCGTGAGACGCCGTGAGACGTCCGCAACATCTCGTCGCAGATATCGCAGACACTGAACCGGTAAGCTCTTCTCCGTGCAGTTCATTAACGTCTCGTGATCCTTCGATTTTGGATAGAATAGGGGGAGAACGTATAAAAACCTCCGATATCCTTTTATCTCTCCTCTGTTTGCCGTTCGTATATTGCTCCATCTCGGTAATCTATTCAACCAGGCAGCTATCGAATTTTTAGTAAAGGTTGAAAGCGATATACGATACGACGGACGGGAATTTAAGTTATCGTCGCTATTGACATAGGGATTCGTATGTTTGTTCGTGACGATAGCAACTCTGCAATCGGCGTAAAATAGACTTTTCCGTATCTATATAAGTATCGAAAGTTGAACTCGTCGACGGTGTACTTTCTTTTTTCGCAATAACATGATACAAAGACATCCGCGCAATATGACGAATCAGTGTGTTGACTTTCCTCTACAATTTCTTTCGATAGGTATAAAATGGATATTACTATTTTAACCATTATATCTAAGATATCCGTTATTGTAGTAAAGACGTCTATGTTAGCTCTGAAGTGAAGCAGAAAATACGACGATGCGTTTAAATTTCTCGTAAAAAAAAGGAGGTAATGAATGTCACATTGATAATTGTTTAACGAGTTTAATTCTTTAAATACTGTTATTAACGAATTTAAAGTGTTAAAACAACTCTGAAACAGGTGACCGTCAATAGTAATCAAAAGGATTAATTAGTGAAAAAATCCGCAGGTGTGGCGTGACTTTTTCTGGGGCACTGTAAAATGAAAAACGCGGTTTCGCGTGCTCGGGTTGGATTTAATGTTTTAGAGGAGTAAATTAGAGAAGACGTCGAATTACTTTGAGTATTCGCGTCACGAAGAGACAAGTCGTTGCTCGCGTCTTACGTACGCTGGCTGGGTGATGAAACGCCCTGTATATACGTTCAATTAGAATTAAGAGCTTTGCAACAGCTGTTCCAGCAAATTGAAACAACAGATTAAAACTTCGCGCTATTAATCTGCGGTCGTTATTTTCACGATGATCAATACGAATGTAATGAAGCAGTAATCCTATTCTGCCAGGTGAAAATTCTTTTTCTGAAAGATTTAGGTGATTTCTGTGATTAAAATGTACACGTTACTGTCATGCGAAAATGAGGGCGCTAAACCAGAGTAATTATTCACGCGAAATGATACGAATATATTTTTATCGAGTTTATTTTGTCGACAAAAGTAATAATAAAATTGCTTTATTACTATTTTTCTTATTAAATAAATTAAATAAGTTATTTTACTCACGTTTTCACGTGCAAATCAATTTTCTTGACACGAACAGAGTAAGTTAACACTGATCGAATAAAATATGTAAACTGAGATGCGAAAGAGAGAGATATTTGGGCATGTTGAAGCTTACTACCGAATAATCTCGAAATAACACTTTACGGCTAAAAAGAAAACAAATACAGTTGCACATACGGTAGGATTATTTGTCTAAAATTTGATAAATTAACGATGATTAAACAATTTCTTTTAAATAACGCACATTGTTTTTACTATGATTTTAATCTTATTGTTGTGAATTATAACTACATCTATGATATGAAACAGACTCCCCTTTTTTAATCTCTTGATGACAAATCTTTTGATACCACAAAATATACCGACTTATTATTTGCGAGAACAATTCGACAGCAGATAATAATCGGCGAGCCACATCACTCTGTTTTCTATTAATTCGCAGCTTGAGTGACGTAACTGGCAACTCTTAATCCTTGTAAAGCCGTTTTTGTACGATAGCACGTTTCGTGACTTGACGTCTGAACGATTTAACACTCATCTCGTTGCGCATTAACAACGTTTCCCATCGTTCAGTCTCCCCGTCGTCACATCTAACCGCGACACGATGCCGTGAGGCTTAAAGTGTCTGCATAATTCATGGTCGATCTCATGGCGGTGACCTCTCGTCCATCATCTTCGGCTCGTCGGCCGTTTTCATGTTCATCGCGGCGCACTTGCGAGGCGTATCCTCGAGATAACGCCGTTGAAGGCAATCACTCTCCCGTTTTTCTCTCAGGCACGCGAGAGATCAAGGAATTCGATGCCGCGTATTGAAGTCTCGGTATTGAAATAGTAACAGCCATGAAAACGCGATCTCTGTTTCCTTGATAACCTTATTCGCAAACAAAAATTATACAAGAAATTTGAATTTAGAATTTGACGGATGTCACATGCATAATAATTTCTAAAATAATTTTAAATAATTAAAATAAAACAAATAACACGCTTTTATAAATAAACATCTTTCTAAAATCAAATTGATTTTAGGTACTACAGCTTTTAAAATTAAAAAATGTTAATCGAATTCATTTCTGAGAAAATATATAGGACTCTTGTTCAAAAAAGTTGTAATTCTTAAAAAATTTTTGTAAACATAGTTTTTATAATTTATAAGGAGTTATTTATAAGGAGTTATAGGTATTACAAATATTATATTTGTTTTATAATTTCGTATATACATCTGGCATTAACTGTACACATTGATAAAATGTTAAACGAAAAATAATGAAGATCTGGTAATTTGTATCAAAATTTATTAAAAATTACTGCGTTTTCGGATATAATACTGGTAGGAGAGCTTATTTTAGCATTCTTGACGAACTCGCATAATAATATAAACAAAACATTTGTTATCTGGCTTTGATTCGGTCAGGAGAGTTTTTCACAGTTAGGCCATAATATTTGAGCCGACAGGAAGTTGTGTGTTTAACTTTGATTTTCGCAATTTTTTGACAATTCCATTTTAATTGGTCTTAATGTAAGTTTCTGTTTTCTAATGTTAGATTTTGTCATTTTAATATGTTTGATTAGTTTGGTTCACTTGTTTTTATAGTGTTGTCAATCTCACTATATTGTGACACTGTGAAGGTGATGACTCTCTCGTTACACCATTTGAGAGGATTAACACTTTCTCGCTGAACGAAGAAATTGGGCAATATGACTTCGTTTGACGATGGATTATTGATCATTTGCGCTTCCCGACGTCAAAAAGACGATTTTTGCGTTTCGAAGAATTTTCAAATAGTGCCGTGAATGACCTAGCCTCTTGCTACTTATAATTCGGTTTTAAGGAGGTTCGATAGCAAAATCAAAATACTTCAATCTGTTTAAAAATTATATAGAATATTCTTTAAAACGAAACTAATAT